AACTTATTAATTCAGTTAGTGCTAAAAAAAAAATCTGCAGTGAATCAGGTGAGCATCTCATACAGTCTTGAATATCTTACTGGAGAGGACAGTAGAAGACACAGGAGAGGCACAAGCTGATAAAAAAAGATATTGAATTATATCCAAGACAGATACAGGGTTTATTAGCTTGGATGTAATGCTGTACAACAGTTGTTTGTCTGACATTGAATTAGTTTTTGCTGAGCAAATCCAGGTTCTTATGTGAATAGAGCCACTGTGGATGTCTGTGTGTCTGTGCTGTAGAAATGCCTCATCTCTGTCTGGCCTCTCTGTCTGGCAGCTCGGGCCTCACCTTCAACGAGCTCCAGTAAGGACTTGGATGAAAAATGCTGGATGAAAGCCTACAGAAATGTTTAAATGGACACTATTGGACAAAGGTCCTCTCTAGCAAGCTAAAAAAGCTTTTCATTCAGGTCAAACCTGGTGTCTCTAGACCCTCCACTGCAGCTGTGCATTGCTAATTGGATAACATCCTTATGCTACAAAAACTGCAGCCATATCTGTCCTCCAAAGGTCTTACCACCCTCTTTTTATCTCAAAATAATTGTACCTGGTACTTCTGAATATGATGAACTGAAACTCCTGTTTGGAAATAGCAGTCTATAACCATGCTAGATGTTTTGTACTTTGGTTTAAGTTGCCAGGTTTCCTGTGACTCAGTCCATTCAAGTTTTGGCAATTTGAGGGTGATCAAGCATGCGCGTACACACACACACATTTTCTTTGAAATATTATTAACAAGAATGTAGAGGATTTATTGCAGTATTCCTGGCTGATTGGTAAACAGGTTTGTTCTGGCTATAGGCTTGAATCCCATCCAACTTTCTGTTTACAGAAATGATCTCCCAGCTTCTACTCAGGCAGTCATTTAACATTACTTTCCTTCAGCTATTGATATCTGTCATTGTATAAATGTCACTGTGTTTTTACTTGTGTTCCTAAAATACAATACACTGCTCTAGATACGTTCTATTAAATGAAGTGAGATTCATAAAAACTTTGACCAGGTGCTGAAATTGCCGGTCATCTCAGTGGGGTATAAACAAATACCTCCCCTCTCGTGATGGGGCCCATGAAGTGTTTGAAACCACAGGTCCAGAAGGCCTTGCAAAACCTTACCACTCCCTTCCTAATGCTCCTGTGGTTGCACTGAGCCACTCTTATCATGAGGAAAGCCTGGGATGTTATCCACCAGTAGAGTACCTGTTGAACTTGCAAGTGCTGAGTTACTGCAGAAAAACTACACTGGCATTGGCTCCCACTTCACTGATATGGCCAGACTATGGCCTAACTCTTCCCCAGCCTAGGCTCACAGATTTTCTTTCCAGAAAACCAGGGAACAAGGAGACAGAATGGAAGACGTCTGGGTTTCATCCTAGACCTAAGTCATGAGCCTGGGGCATGCGCCTCCACCTGTGAAATGCTGGGAAATGATCCTGGGTTTCTGAGTTACTGCTGCTGTGTGTTGCCTGCTACAACATCTACTGAAAACATGGGATTTTAAAAGTAGTAGTCCAGGAAAAGGCTGATTTCTTGCTCTCACTGTCTCACTGTATGAATTTGTCTCAGAGTGAAAAATATAGGTAGAGAAGGGTCACTTGGTACCAATACTGCAGGGCTTGTCTTCGTATTTTAAGCATGCTACCCCAGGAGTTCTTTGGCAATTAGGCAGTGGCTGAAAAACAAACTTTAGCCTTAAGCATTGAGGGAGGTAATAGGGCACCTACTTCACTCTTCAGGGGTTAGTCCCAAATGGCAGCCTTCCTCCCAGTCCCCTGGCATAACTATGAGTACCGTGGAGATGGGATCAGGGCATTAGAGACATCACTGCACCTTAGGATAATTGAGCTTGACCATAATAAAAGCAATGTGATTACCTTAGAGCTGGGCAGCTAATACACAGGGAAGAACTAGATATCTTTTAAAATAAAACAGTACAAAGTTAAAGGAAAACACATGACGTTGAAAAAGATTGACTTAAAAATAAATCTCTCAAACTCCCACCCTCTGAAGTTTATTAAAGAAAATTGAATTGCACTGGCGTCTGTACCCTGATCATCCTGCAGTAAATCAAATGTTAGTAACAAAGACTGAAGCTGACCATCTGGTTCATTTTGCCCAGTGCTTTGCTATCCCAGGCAATCACATTATACACACCATTTAACGCACTGATCAAGCATCACTTTAAAACCGACCGCATGGCTGTTCCCCTCCTGGTTCTGGAAAGAGGCTCTCCTGGAGCATCACTGCTCAGCAGCAGCAGAAGCCTCCTAGGTTCCAATTTCTAGTCCTGAGGAGCTTACTTGCCTTTGTTCTGGAACCAAATGTGGTCTCTTGGCTTACAGCAGCCATCCAACCCCCTCCGTGATCTACAGTCCTCCACAGAGACACACCGTTCCTTCTTGCAGCCCTTCCCTGCACCTATTCAAGTTGTCTTTCATCTGCGTGAGCACAGCTGACCCAAATCGTGCAGAGTATGACTGTATTTATGTCTATGCATCAGTAGCTGGTGACTGAGACTAGGAAATATCAATCTGATATCTAGCATAACTTTTATTCAAACTATTTATAGCAGTCCCATTTATTTCTTATTATTACTCTGAAGTGAAAATGCTCAGTTTCAGATCTGACTGTAGTGTATTTACTGCAGGATAAATAAATAATTCAGCTGGTATTTCTAAAAATATAATTAGTTGATGAGTCAGAGAGGAATTTCATTTCCCTAAATGTTAAGGCTTGAAGTTTGGGATTATCATGATCAGTGTGTCTGAACGGTGACTCCATCATGTCTTAGGACTCTGCCGGGTAATTCTTGTGTCAGTTTGTCAGCTGGAAGATTGTTCAGACAAGACTGAATAAAGGGCCCAGGCCACATCCTTGCAATTTGCTGAATGTTATTTCAAACAACACAAACAAAAGGTATACCCCACAGACAAGCCTGCATCTGGTGATTCATCATTCTCATTTAAAAATTTAAGACAATTAACACTTAGTAATGGTCTAATTTCTGATAACTTGGTGCACATTTTTAGAACTTCAAACATAACTATGAACCACTGAGGTGTGTGTGTATATAGAGATATTTAAGGCAATGAAGCATATCTCTATTTATGGGAATCTAAGTCTTACCAAGAACCTGCATCAGCCATGTGAAATGTGAAAATAGAAAAGGAGGCAGCTGGGATAAAATGAAAAGGCATAAACTAATCAAACTCCAGACTGCAATAAATGCTGCCATCAAAGAAGAAACTGAAAAACAAAAATGAACACCACGTAGAGCAAAGGATCAATATTTTATTGACTGGAAAACAGACTGCTATGTACTTGTTGGTCAGTCATTATCCATATTGATTTTATGCCACTGCAGTTCAGCTCTGGCTTAGCTATGCACACATATTCTTTTTTTTTTTTTTCTTTTTTTTCATTTTTCTACCTAAAGTAATGGTTGGATTCCGTATGAATAAAGCCTACTCAGGTCAGCCAAATAACTCTATGCACATAAGGTCAGACCCTAAAGGAGCATGTACAACTTAAAGACGTGCGAGATGAGGACTAAGATAGTGCTGAGCGGTGCAGAATCTGCCATCCTTAATATCACTGCAACGCTCACAACAGCCTGGTACAGACACTCTAACACCCATCAGGCCATCACAACACACAGTGTGGAAGAAGTAAGAAGAGAAATGCTTCTAACTCAGCTCTAGATGACCTTTAATAATAGACACTTGAGCGCTGAAGCTCAGCAAGCAGATATGACCTTCTCAAAGCTAGCTACCTAGAAGCTAATACCTTGGTACTACAAGTGAGGACTGCCTAGCTTGCAATGACAATATTACCAATTCTTGACATAATATTGACAAATGCATGTGGCACATGGCAAAATGAATCAGGTATTGGTTCTGAAGAGCTTATAGCCTGCTATAGACAAGCAGGCATTTAGAAGAAAAGGTAGACTGCATCAAAGACCTAGCAGGGTGGAAATTTTAAGGCCATTAACAGTTTTTTGATTGCTGGCAAATGGGCTCTGGGTGGAGGAAATTACAAGGTTAAAGGGACAAGTATGAGTTGGCTTTTGTCTGTACTAATAAAAAAATATATTTTATGCATGTATTTGAAGGTCTAGTGAACAAAATGGAGACAGAGTCTTAAAGTATATTAGCTATGGGACAGTGTACCTCAACACTATCCAGTCTTGGACAACCCTTACCTGTTACAGTAGCTCAAAATGTGGGTTTATTTATGTTCTAAAGCAGTTATGCCTGAAAAATTAAGTACAGTTAAACAATTTTGGGAAAGGACCTGTCATTCAGTTTTTCTGATGACTAAAGACTACATTTCTAAGGAGTAATCTCAGTAAGGCGAGGAAAATTACCTTTTTTCCCCCCTTTATTTGGCCCTGGAAGAGTCCTCTCTGTCTCAGTGACCCTCTGTGTAAAAGTATCCACTCCTCCCACTTTCTGCCTGTTTTGCCAGCAGCCTTTTTGCCTCAAGTACGAAGGAAGCTGATATTTGCAAGTTGTTCTCATCAATGCTATGATCCAATAGGAAAATGCACGTGCCCAGCTTTCCACACCGAGGTCTGCGTCTGTGAAGCAGTATTCATGCCTCATCACTAGCCATATGCCATATAGACTTTTCACAATCCTTGGTTTATGGGAGATGAAATGTAAATTTTAAGCTTCTAACAGCAGAGTGCAGTGTGTTACAAGGAGAAACATACTATAGTTAGATTTAAAATATACACTATGCAGAATCTTTTCTGCGTTATTTTCTTAGCTAGTATGGGGCTGTTGAATTTTTTTTCACAAGCAATTGAGAGCTATGATAGAATTAAACTGCTGTTGTAAAGTTTCTTGAATGACTAAACATTATACCTTTTAGATGATTTTCCTACTGCAGAGTAATGAAGTACATGGTTACAGTGCAAGAATACTGCAGCTGTACAGCTCTCCACAGAACTATGAAGCAGAGGCACATCCATGACAGAGGACATCATCCTGCCGAGTGAGGAATCCTTGGCCCACCAGTGAGACAGAGCATTTTGCACAGTTAAAGCATTCCCCATGCCACTGGCGCTCTTCAAAGGAGACAAATTTGGCACCTCCAAGAGCTGAAAGAAATTATGAGAAAGAAGATGTGAATCCAGTATTTCTGGACGTGGTTCAGAAATGCAGCAGATTGTTTTCTGATGTGCGATCAGGTTGTCATTCATACAGCAAACAAACAAATGAACAAAAATCCCTAGTCTGAAGTATCCTTTATTGGCTGAAGTGAAAAAGCTTTAAAATTAAATACAGTGAGAAATATTTTAAGCAAAGCCACAAGTCACTTGCTTGTTTTCACATCCCATTATGAACTCTGAACAGAATGGGTTTAGCAGAATATCCATTCAGATTGGCTGATCTTCCCAACAAATGCTCATAAAAATTATTTGCAGATTGTTTCCATACAATACTGAGTGAAATGTAATTATTTCCACCTAAGTTCCTTCAAGATGGAGGCTTTTGGAAATCACCACATCATGGAGTTCCTAGCATGAAATAAAACCCCAGTGTTTTGGGTATTTTTTGATGTTTTTTGGTTTTGTTTGGTTGTTTTTTTGTAAAACTGTGCCCATTTGATTGGGTATTCATTATTTTATTTGTCCACTTACTTACACAAGCAGCATGCACCTGTAAGGATCAGCACTCTTCAACAGCTGAGGCTCCACATAATAGGATTACAATGCAGAACAGCAGCAAATGCTCTCAGAAAACTTCAGCTATCATAGACTAGTGACCTGTATGGTATCTAATTACAAATCATCTAAGTACACAAGGATGCATGCAATAGAGCTTTGTTGCATTTGGCAAGCTTTCTAATTTGACAGGTGTGCCTAACCAGCAGGCAGTTCATTTGTGTCCAATTTGATCATATTTGCACTTAAAAACAAAGCTGAAGAAATTACAGACATGAGGGACTTGCGTGCGCTGTCCTGGGAAGAGCCAAATAGTGCCTTTTCATATATTCTTAGGGATGAATTTTAGTGCAGAAAGTACTAAATCAAACAGTGGACGAACTCCTTTCAACATATAAACCAGCTCCTCACCAGTCAGGGAATATGTGTGATCAGTATGTCCTAGCAAGACACGTTACATGTGATGAGGAGAGGGTTTCTTCAGTAGTTAACTCCCTCGGACTTTCTTTATGATGGGAAAGTTTTTAATGCTGTTTTCTAAAGTAAAGGTCTAATTTCAGAGAAGCGTGATCGTTCATCAGTGTCTAGACCCTCCTAGAAGATAAGACTCACCTGTAATAGGTTTCTTGCAAGCAGCACACTTCTTAGCATACAATTTGCTGAAGCAGTCTACGCAGTATGGATATTCATCTTTGGAAATAAACCTTTGGCCAGACAGCTGGGTTTTACACCCAGCACACACAAAGCATTCTTTATGCCAAGGCTGGTCATGGTAGGTCACTCCCCCAGAAGTTATTACCTAATGTATTGACAAAAAGGACAGAGCAATGAAACAAAACTGTGAATCTTGAAGGATTATCCAGTTCCTCATAACTCCTTTCTCTTGTTTTCCCATATGCACAAGAGAAGAGAGTGTGGTCACGTCAGTTTTTCATCTGGCATATCAACTTGACTAACTGCAATTGAGCTGAACACGCCACTGGTTTTTTATTCTCTGTTTTCTGTCGTAGGATAACCTCATGGTTTGTAATAAATAGGTTAGCTTGTTATGAAATTTTTCTGTTAAACACGGATAACGGCTTAGTGTCAGGCATGCTCTCAGAAGAATAGTTCTCACTGATGGACAGTGAATGAGAGAACCGGTGCTGAGATTATGGCTGATCTCCAACTGGAACTGGCATTTTGCTGTCTCACAACTGAAATGGTATTTTAAGCAGGAAGGAAGAGACAGTAAAAAGCAGAAGTGAGACAGAAAGGAGATCTACACTGCCAGAAGAAGAAAAAAAATTGTATTTATCAGGGTCATAAAGCTTCTCATTCCCTGCAACTCACTCACAACTCTCTACTGGGTATTTCTGAAGAGGGAAATTTCCAGTTGCTCTATGGCTTCCATATGTGTGGCAAAGAGCTGGTTTCACAGAAGGTGTAAGAGGCTTGTTATGCACCTGGCCGAGCAGGAGAAGCTCAAAAAGTCCTTGAGTAGTCTGAGCACTACTTGGCAACAGCTGAAAACATCAGTGTGTTATCAACATTCTTCTGGTACTAAATCCAAAACACAGCACTATGCTAGCTACTATGAAGAAAATTAGCTCTATCCCAGCCGAAACCAGGACACTGTACAGATAAATTTCTGTAGAGGTAAAGGTGAGCTATAAGATAGCATTTCTACTGTCAAGTCACGTGCATGACAGTGAGTGAATGAATGAACGAATGAACGAATGGATATAGTTGGAACATGAGGAGAAAAAGCTGGAGAAACTTAAGTAAAAATAGTGGCCCCATTGCTTTCCCTGGGGAATACAGTTTCAGGGAAAAAAAGAATAATAATTGGGTGATGTCAGGTAATACAAAAATTTAAATACTTCCCAAACCCCTTAGCATTCCCAGTACTAGGCTACTTCTAACTCTCATTTGCTTTTCCATTAGGATCTCAAAATCCCTGGCACAAAATTCAGGACTCCAGTTTAGCAAATTAATCTATTTGGGCTCAATTCTTATTTATGGGAACTGATGTGAGTTTAAGTAGTAAAATTGTTTTAGCTATTATGTAGGGGGACTTTTTGCATTCCTAGAATTTTTAAGAAGCAAATCCTGATTATTTCACTTAAGTGCTTCTAACCTCAATGCCTCTAATAAACATAGAGCAGAATTACTATACTTGCCATGTGATCATTTAATGAAAATTAAAGGCTACATGTAGACACGTGGGAATATAGAAAAGTACTTTCTCAAGTTTAACTACTGAAGAAGAAACAGGCAGCAGATTTTTCTTAGATGAAAATCTTTTGTTAGAGGTAGAGGTTTACAGACAAACATGAAATAACTTTAGAAATTATAAGTTATTTGATGAAGTGAAAAAAAAAATGCTTCCAGAGTGATGCAGATACTAAAGAATAAGTTACATTCTGCCATAAAAAGCAGCTTAAAACATTTCCCTTGAGAACAGTATCACACTAGAATAGGGTGACACTTGGAGTATTTTCATCAATCAGAGACAATATTAAAACATGAGAAACTGAGGGGAGAATGAATTGATTTACTTGTATTTTGGGGAAAAAAGAAAAACTCATTTGAAGTCAAGCTTTTTGGTACCCACAGGGTAAGCAGCATGTATTGAAAAAGTAGGACTCTTGACCAGTATTGTCACAACTGAATATTAGTTCATCTGATTATTGCCTGATACATTTCAAGAGAAAAACAGGCAAGACTGTGAACACCTTGCTCAACTTTGGTGGCTTATTATGTATATGAATATATCCCAAAAAATGTCGGAAAGGGAGACATGTTTATCAAGGCAAAATCAGGTAGTACCAGGAAAGAAGAGTTTTACATAATTTTCAGTAAAATTTCAACCTTTGTTAAAAAGTGCAAACAAAAGAACCCTAAAGTGCTTGTTTTGGTCAATAAATTTTTTTCAAATATAATAAGGCTTATACCAATGTTAACTAAAGGGGATAGCAGACACCATTGCACGTAACTTTCAGCATCCAGTACCAATACCAGTGCTCTTACCGTTAGTTCACCAGACGTTTTGTATAATCCAGCCCCTGCCCCCACAAGCAATATTGCCTCATTAGGGCAATTTTTCCATTGTACAGTTAATTACCTTTTTGCAGGAATAGCAATGGTGAGCAAATTGCTTCTCAAAACAGGGCACGCAGTAATTCTCATTGCCTTTGGTGATCAATGGTTTTGTTCCCAATGGCTGCCGGCAATACTGGCAAACGAAACAGGATTCATGCCAGGAACTTCCCTTAAATTCCATTTTACGTGAACCTGCAAAAACCCAAAGTGAACAATCCTCACCCCGATATAGCCTTGTAAGATAAGTTTTAAATGTTGGGATTTTTAATCTTCTATCTCGGTTGTATTACCCAACAAAATACTTTTCCTCAGTTTAATAGAGTGTCCAAGTACGTACTTGAAATTTCAAGAACACATTCAGTGCTATATCATCACCTGGCGAAAGACATGCCAAGTTGCCTACACTGTGATTTTTAGAGTGCTTACATGAATCTTTTAAGGTTACTTCTCTGTGATATGCTTCAGTTGCTCAGAGTTTCTCTCAGGCCAGCCAACTCAGTGGTGATGTTCAGGTACACAGCACTTTTATAAATTAAAGATTAATTTGTTGAATGTTTAGTACATCTATTAATGTCCTGTCTTTTGCCTTCCTTAAAGTAAGGCTCCTTCACTTACACATGCATTATTTATCTTACTCAGCTTAAGCTGGCAATTTTTTTTTTTTAAGTAAATACCTTTACTGTGATAAAGCACATCACACTGCCTCTTCTTATAGCTCATAATTTCCATCCAAGATCAAGAGATCTTTTTATCATGCTTAACTAGATGCTTTTGATGCAGTGCAAGGACAGATGCAATCCCAAAAGAAAATCACTCAGTTAAATATCTGCCAGAGGACTTTCAAAACTCTTAGTTCTGTGTACAGGTGTCCTGTACATCTTAATGTAGATGTGTAAGTCTAAGACACACAAATATATCTGAGAATGACTTTTCCACTGACTGCACCATAACTTTCACCTCTGCTGGTACCATAAGACTGCAAGGAGAGGTGCCAGGTGCTTTACCATCTTTTCCACACAAAGAAAATCACTGATGTAAATGTTTAATCCCACAATACCTGTTTCCTGGACTGTGGGGCTAGTGGAGAGAGAAACTACTGGTTGTATTTCAACACAAAAGGTTTGCAGCTTCTTCCCAGTGATCAGAAGGCTGGCTTCACTGTTTTGGCCTGCTGGGTCTTTACAACACAGAGCTAGCAAGCTGATGACAACGAAGCTAATGATTTGGAAACTGGTTGGCATCCCTATGCCACTTCAGCTCTCTATTTGCCCTGTCACTCCTACCCTTGGCGCCTGCTGCAAGGATTTAGTGTCCTAGACTCTGGGGCAAAATCTGAAAGGTGGATATACACCAGAGGATAATAATGCAAACCCCACTATATTCTGGTGCTCTTCAGGAAGGAGAAGCAGGGAAGATGAGAAGGGGGTGTCACCCTCTATATCAATGACCAGCTGGAGTGCAATGAGCTCTGGCTGGGGATGGATGAGGAGCCGACCAAGAGCATATGGGCCAGGATTAAAGGGAAGGCAGGTGACATTGCAGTATGGGTCTGCTACAGGCCACCTGACCAGGAAGACCAAGCAGATGAGGTCCTCTATAGACAGGTAGGAGCGGCCTGACGTGCACAAGCCCTGGTCCTCATGGGAGACTTAAACCACTTTGATATCTGTTAGAGGAACCTCACAGAAAGGCATAAGCAATCCAAGAGACTCCTAGAATGCATTGATGATAACTTCCTTCTCCAAGTGATAGAGGAGCCAACGAGGAGATGTGCTATGCTGGACCTTGTTCTCACCAACAAGGAGGGGCTGGTGGGGAAAGTGAAGCTCAAGGGCAGCCTTGGCTGCAGCGACCATGAATTGGTGGAGTTCAAGATCCTTAGGGCACCGAGGAGGGCACACAGCAAGCTCCCTACCCTGGACTTCAGGAGAGGAGACTTTGGCCTCTTCAGGGATCTACTTGGTAGAGTACCATGGGATGAAGACCTGGAGGGAAGAGGGGCCGAATAAAGCTGGTTAATATTTAAGGATCACCTCCTCCAAACTCAGGAGTGCTGTATGCTAACAAAGAGGAAGTCAGGCAAAAACACCAGGAGGCCTGAATGGATGAACAAGGAGCTCCTGGACAAACTCAAAGACAAAAGGGAAGCCTACGGAGGGTGGAAGCAAGGACAGGTAGCCTGGGAGGAATACAGAGAAATTGTACAGGCAGCCAGGGATCAGGTTAGGAAAGCTAAAGCCCTGATAGAATTAAATCTGGCCAGGAATTTCAAGGGCAACAAGAAAAGCTTCTATAGGTACACTGATGATAAAAGGAAGACTAGGGAAAATGTGGTCCATCTCCAGAGGGAAACAGGACACCTGTTTTCCTGGGATATGGAGAAGGCTGAGGTACTCAATGACTTTTTTGCCTCAGTCCTCACCAGCAAGTGCTCAAGCCATGCCGCCCAAGTCGCAGAAGGCAAAGGCAGGGACTGGGAGAATAAAGAACTGCCCACTGTAGGCGAAGATCAGGTCTGAGACCATTTAAGGAACCTGAAGGTGCACAAGTCCATAGGATCTGATGAGATGCATCCACAGGTTCTGAGGCAACTGATGAATGAAGTTGCTAAGCCACTATCCATCATATTTGAGAATTTGTGGCAGTCTGGTGTAAGTTCCCACTGACTGGAAAAGGGGAAACATAACCCCCATTTTTCAAAAGGGAAAAAAGGAAGACCCAGGGAACTACAGGCCAGTCAGCCTCACCTCAGTGCCCAGCACGATCATGGAGCAGATCCTCCTGGAAACTATGCTAAGGCACATGGCAAATAAGGAGGCAACTGGTGACAGCCAACATGGCTTCACTAAGGGCAAATCATGCCTGACAAAAGTGGTGGCCTTCTACAATGGGGTAACAGCGTTGGTGGATAAGGAAAGATCAGCTGACGTCATTTACCTGGACCTGTGCAAAGCATCTGACACTGTCCCACACAACATCCTTGTCTTAAAATTGGAGAGACATGGATTTGATGGGTGGACCACTCAGTGGATAAAGAATTGGCTGGATGGTTACACTCAAACAGTTGTGGTCCAAGTGTTGTGTGGTGTTCCTCAGGTGTGAGTATTGGGACCATCACTTGTTTAACATCTTTGTTGGTGACATGGACAGTGGGATTGAGTGCACCCTCAACAAGTTTACCGATGACACCAAGCTGTGTGGTGTGGTCGACATGCTGAAGAGAAGGGATGTCAACCAGAGGGACCTTGACAGGCTTGAGAGGTAGGCCCATGTGAATCTCATGAAGTTCAACAAGGTGAAGTGCAAGGTCCTGCACATGGGTTGGGGAAATCCCAAGCACAAATACAGGCTGGGAGGAGAATGGATTGAGAGTAGCCCTGAGGAGAAGGACTTGGGGGTGTTGGTTGATGAGGAGCTCAACGTGACCCAGCAATGTACGCTTGCAGCCCAGAAAGCCAACCATATCCTGGGCTGCATCAAAAGCAGTGTGGCCAGCAGGTTGAGGTAGGTGATTCTGCCCCTCTACTCTGCTCTTGTGATACCCCACCTGGAGTTCTGCATTCAACTTTGGGGTTCCCAATATAAGAAAGACATGGACTTGTTGGAGTGAGTCCAGAGGAGGGCCATAAAGCTGATCTGAGGACTGGAGCACCTCTCCTATGAAGACAGGCTAAGAAAGATGGGGTTGTTTGGTCTGGAGAAGAGAAGGGTCCGGGGAGGCCTTAGAGCAGCCTTCCAGTACCTAAAGGGTACCCCTGGAGAGGGACTTTTTACAAGGGCATGTAGTGTTAGGACAAGGGGTAATGGCTTTAAACTGAAGGAGGGTAGATTTAGATTAGACATAAGAAAGAAATTCTTTGTTATGAGGGTGGTGAGGCACTGGAATAGGTTGTCCAGAGAAGCTGTGGATGCCCGATCCGTGGAAGGGTTCAAGTTCAGGTTGGACGGGGCTTTGAGCAACCTGGTCTAGTGGAAGGCATCCCTGCTTGTGGCAGGGGCGTTGGAACTAGGTGATCTTTAAGGTCCCTTCCAACTCAGACCATTCTATGGTTCGACGATTTTAGGAATGCTACAGGTTGAACCATGACATCAGTAACCTGGTATTTATACTAAGACAATAATTCTGCACAGCCTAAATCTAATTGTTTGGCATTGAGATCTGCTGAAAAATAAAAATCCTATGTCACTGCCAAATTTACTGATGGCCATGGCCAAGGTTCCCAAAGTAATAGTCATGAGGCCATGGCAGATAGTTTGCAACTGGTATTTGGAGTTATACATGTGATCCGTAAAAAGATTCAAGCACTGGAGGTAGTTCACTGTTCCAAAAGTTAAGGACCCATTTTCCTAAGCAAGCTGCTTCATTTTGCCACATACAGTGCTGTGGCTTCTCTTCAATGCCTCTGAAGAGGCAGCTTTTAGGCAACCTCTCTGCTGTATGAGCTTTGCTGGTGTGGTAGCTATGAAAGGTCTAGAGGATGTCCTTAAGGGACACGATCAAAAGCTGAGAAGCAATTTAGTGGAAAGTACAGAATTGTCAAGGTTGCTAATGGCTGGAAGTAAACTTACTATAAACACAAATGTACTTGAATACTTTTTAGCAAAAATGCTGATAGTGATTTGAACACAGAATGTCATGTTTTGACAATTTAAACAAAAAATATTTTGGAGTGGAAGAACTGGTATAAAGAACGTGAGCTCAATGTCTGGTCAATGTGACAGACGAAAATGCAGATGTCTTTTCTGATCTGGCACTCCTGCCAATGATAGCTCTGTTTGTCTACCTACACTCACAGTGGGATATGCTTCCCAAGAACTGCAGCGGAATCAAGGACTCAACATGAAAACATTTTACCCTATCTTCAACTCTAATATTCTTTATAAAGATTCATTAATCCTGTCAGTGCTAGACCAGAGGTACCTGCCTGCCCTCTTTTCACTGCTGGCAGGGTACTACGCACAAAGGAGAATTAGTCACCTGAAAGCTGTTCTGGAAGTCAAGGGCTTTGTAGCTCAGTTATTCAAAGATGTGGTTATAATTAAAAATGCAGTTCTATTTTTCACCAAAGGGTCCCTGTTGTCTTACCAGGCATAATGGTCTTCTGGCAGTGGAAACACTTAGATGAATACTCATCTGAGTAGCATTCAGTACACAGCAAGAGCTCGTCCTTGGCAGCAAATGGTTTCTCCACCAGCGAGCGATTGCATTTGGTACACTTGAAGCACCCCTCATGCCAGTGGCGGCCTTTGTAGGCCAGATCCTTGGAGAAAGTAAGTCCATGTTAATGAAGCCATTTCTTTACAGTGGTTTTATCCCTCAGCTTGTCCCAGACATAAAGTGAAAAATGGAGAGCATTGCAATGGGGCCTTGAAGAGATGACAAATGTATCCAGCAGGAGGTGTGCTCAGAGGTGAAATCAATGTCACTGTGGCAAGCTATTTGGTAGATCTCTTGCAGAGGCCATTAGGAGCTGCTTTGGCACAGGCAATAGTCCTTCCTTATGTAACATCAGAGATATGTTTTTATTGGAAGAACCATTTTGTATTTTGCATTTGGCCTTCAAGGGGAAACAAGAGATCAACATTTTTAATGTGCACAGGCCGCCTGACAAGAAGTGCATTCTCTACAGATTTTGAAATGAACTTCATGTATTTTTTAACGTTACTACTTTTTCTTCCAGCTGACACTACATAACACTAAAGAAAGATCATATTATTGCGGAAAACAAGCAATTAAAACCTCATTGAGAACAAAATTATTCTTAGGAAGATTATTAAAAAATCATTGCTTTTGTTTACACCTAATATAACTCCTCCTAAAAACTTGGCAGAAAAATGTTTGTTTAAGACTCAGCAGGCTTGGGGGATGAACAAGCTAACAGTATATGTATGAGACCTGCGCTAAGAATTCAAAAAAGGACCAAACAGCAGACTATTTTTCCAAGGTTAAAAAAACAAGGGAAAAATGCACCACCAACACCACCCCCCACCCCCCCACTCCTCCTTAAAAAATAAGCCAAACCCATCCTGGTCTCCTTTATAAGTAAAAAGTAAAAAAGGAGACAAATTGAATTCAATTTTTCTCCTTCGTCAGATCCCTACCCTTTAACGTCCTAAAAATGAAATACATACCATGCTTCATTTCAGGAGGTGCTGAGCATTTACCAATTTCATTTCATTACTTAGCACTCTGAACCTTTTAGAGCAGCCTGAGGCAAAGTCTGGGTAAGGAGAGGAAGAGAGCCAAGTTCTAACACCTTAGCAGAGGTGGGACAACTGGCTGTAGATCTCTGTGAGCCACTTTTCTAGCTGACTCTGGCCTGTTGCACTCCTTTCTTGCTACTCTGCTTTTTTCTCCCCGTTTTTCTTCCACTCCGTCCAAAGGCATGACTTTTTGTTAATGATCTTTGACATTGGCAGTCCTGCCACTTAATTTTCAATTTTAAAAGTGCAATTAGGGAGCTCAGAGCACGTGTTCTCCAGGTGACCCTCACTGGAGCTGCGTGTGCAAGTTTGCTGTTGAAGAATGCCGATGAGAGTTTGAGAAGAGTCTTCATCCAAGTCAGCAATTTCTTTGAATGGTCCCTCTACAGCACTGAGCTGTACTCAGACAATGTGCTTTGAAAACCATGAAGTGCTTTGGCCAGGGAGGCCTCCCGAGAGGCTTATTTTAATAACTTTCTGACCTTTTATTTCAAAAGACTGTAGGCAAAGCGAGCATGGGGAGAAGGTGAGCACTATATAGTGAATTTGGCTAAACAAAGGCATTTTGACAGGTTTTATCTGAACTTAAAGTTCAAAGTCAGGTGTACAAGCTGTAAATTGAAGTATGGAGCACTGGAAACCCTGTTAAAGACCACAGAGGAACTCATATTACTAATTAATATCCTAAAAAAGGGGAGAGGTGAAAAAAAAGCCAAGCCCAGAAACACTGCCGCTCACATGCTATGTATAAGATGAGCAAGGCAAGCATGGAATTAAGTTAAAATTAAAATATACTTCATTTCTGCAAGACACAAGGAATAATGTACAAATTATAAACATGGTTTCCTATCAGTTTGACATCTGCATGCCAAGCCTTTATATACAGTAATTTATCCAATACTCAAAATACTTTTTTCGATGGACACCTGTCAGAAATTCCAAAGTTTCATTCAACCTGCTCTATTGAATTCCACCAGCACCCTACCATCACTCAAGCACCGTGCAGTCTCTGCAGCTAGTGAGTGGCTGGAGGTGAAGCATGGAATCCAGTTGCGGTCCACTCATGCACCACAGCACAGATGTATGTTTCAGGTATACATAAGTGCATGCTTCCTAATCTTTGGCCCCAGAGCTTTCCTGTTCTGGGAAAATAGCACTGTTTCTCTCTGCTGTGCATGGCTGTACAAGGGCTATGCTTAGGGCTCTTCACCAGCACAGGGATATGCAGAGGGTCGGATATAGAATCTGCCACTAAAGAAATGGGATTTGTGTGTAATTTAGCAAAGAACAAGAAGTGAAAGCTAAATCTTTACCTTGGAATCGCACTCAATAGGTTGCTTGCACTCTTCACAGGGGTTGGCAAACAGGCTGTCATAACAGGTAACACAATAAGCGTTTTCTTCTCTTAATGCATACTTCTTTCCACGAAGAGACTGCAGGCAGTAATGACAGTCTGTGTGACTGCTGGTCATTCTGGTGGAGTTCTCCACGTGATCTGGAAAGATGGAAAAATCATGTAATTCAGTGGATTGCCCAAATAGTAAATAATGCTGCTTTACCTGTGAAAGTTAGGACAGGCATTTCTTGGTCATTCACAGTGCCCTGGATTTCTAATGCTGTTCCATAATAAAGCGCTAGACTTTAACAACATATACTGTGTATTGTGTTACCTACATAATGGGCAGCAATAAGGCTGCTTTGGCTTATCTAATGGTACGCACACTGATAGGTCAGGTACCTGCAAATGAATGTGAAAGTTTTCACATTCTTTACGTACTGACATTATGAGCATTATGTACCGGGTTGTGAGGCATGGTTTATCCAGAAATCAGGGAATGAAGACAGAAGCTATAGTTCAAAAATTAAACCAACTGCAGAGTTAAAAGGCCAAAGAGAAAGTGGCAAGCACTTTGTAGTGTGTTCCTGGGTTTCTTTTGCTATTGCTATCTTTCTACTCATTCCTTCTTTTCAAAATACCCCCTGACTGAACAGAAGGAAGACAAGGGACTCCAAGCTATATGGCTGGTTTTGCATAATCCCAGCTGTGCTGCTAGCATTTGGTAGCAATGTAAAGTCACACAAGTACCCCTGGATAGCAAAAGAGCAAAATAGAGAAAGAAATAAACTAAATCATAACTCAAACAAAATCATAACTCAAAGTAAGTTTCCCTTGTTGTTATTGGAAAAGATTGTCTTTTCTTATGTATTTCTGTATTGCCAGACTCCACGCTGGCAGTGCCAGAATACTGTGAGATAAATTATATTTCTGTGCCAGAGCAGTGCAGGAAATACCACAAACCTATTGAGAGCCAATTGTATGAGTTTCCCATCCTTCAGTTTTCCAGGCTAAAGAGGCTTAGATAAGCATCCAAAGCTCAGCTGCTTATACATCTGCAATGCTGAATGTTTTAAGGATTGTGGCGATGAAGACTTATTTCAGTCTTCTTGTTGCTGGTTGGATCATCAGCACTTCGCTAAAATTGGGTCTTGATTCCTGGGAATGAAGGAAGAAAAATCCAGAAAGTTCCCAGTGAAGCAAACCCAGAAACATCTGCTGGAATCATTGGATTGCATTCTTCATTAAACTCGTTGAGTGTCGCTGAGGTCAGTGCCAGCAATCATAAATTTTAGAGGATTTGAGAACAACCAGGGAAAGTCTCCTAAAATATTTACATCTCAGTGACTTTTGGCAGCTGAAATCTTTGCACTTTGAATAACAGAAGGAGAACAAGATTCGAGGGAGTACTTGCCATCACAGAGCTTACGTCTAGTCCATTTAGCATTACTCCCTCATACTTGTTTTCATACGCTCACTGCCTGTCTTATACCCATGATTCAGCTTTAAAAAGGCTTTTAATCTTTTTCTGCGTTTCTGCTTTGTGCGATGTAATCCAATATGATTGTTTGAACTATGAGAAAGAGCAATTACTGCAGGTCTCCACTGACACCAATGCATAAGGTCAGGCATTTATTAATCTATTCCTGGAGGGATAATAGTAAGACGGCGAAAAGGGACAGGGAGAGAGGCTATAATGCTTACCTCAGACCAAAAGTAATGACTTGATAGTTTGGCACAAGCTATGGAAAACTTGCTCCTGTAAATTGAAAATCTTTTGAGTTGAATTGATTTACTGTATTTCTGACTGCCCTAAATCTTTGTGCTAGCCATGACAGGGTGTAGTAAGGAAGTCAAATAATCTGTAACTCTGATCAGTGGGAAACATGCTTGCTTAAAAATATTACAGATGTGTTCTGTGCGATATCCTTGGAATAATAGTATAATAGGGCTTGAATCTGGACTTCCATTTCCTTAAGGACAAACAGAGATTTGAATGTGAAATGAATGAACCCCTGTATATCACAAAATGACATCCATCAGCTTGTACATTTACACAACATGACATATAAAACCAGGCGCAGCTCAGTAATTCTGTGCACCATCACTACATGGTCATCACCAAAATCAAGGTTAAGTTTTGTTCATTTTCTATATTGGGGAAGCAGCATAAATTGGTGGCTAGGGAGAAAATCAAGGAGTGTTTGTGGTTAACTGGGCTCCATATTCAAGATCATAGGATAGGCTTGAAACTGGGTTTCAGAGGAATTTTCCTTGGTTTTTTTTTTTTTTTCATTTGTGGGAATTAGAGTTATGAACTGTCTCTGAGGATAACCCTGAGTAGACTACCTTTCTGATTTCCTCCCTGCTGAATCAGTACCCCAGCTTCTTAACACACTTTCATCTCAGCCTAAAACTGGCAACAGGAAAATCCTAACAGGGAATGCATGAAGGGCTGATCTGTTACTTACAGTGCTTTTTGTTGTACAAAGCTGACCAACAAATAGCTAGACTGAGGGAAATGGAGCATTCTCCTCTCCTATTTCCAAACTAAGATTTATGGATTTTAAAGTCAGGCCTGTAGTTCCCCGGATCCTCCTTCCAGCCCTTCTTGTAGATGGGCGTCACATTGGCAAGCCTCCAGTCATTTGGGACCTTCCCTGTTATCCAGGATTGCTGATAAATGATGGAAAGCGGCTTGGCAAGCTTCGCCGTCATCTCCCTCAGTACCCTTGGGTGGATCGCATTCAGCCCCATAGACTTCTGAGTGTACAGGTGGTACATCAGGTCATTAACTGCTTCCTCCTGGATTATGGGGGATTTATTCTGCTCTCAGTCTTCAGGATTTGACCATGACGATATAAAACCATATTTGAGAATGAAGCAGTAATGGTATGAAAAAGAATGATGATTTTTGCAAAGCTCTCAGCAAAGGTCTGCGAACCTTTGTGAACTACTTTTACCATTAGACAATTCAACAAAAAAAAGTGAATCACGGCTCCCCCATCACCACTTACCCTTGCTCCAATAAATAAGTAATGGTATGAGCACCACGTAGTAGTTAAGTAGAATGTTTTTCTTGTGCTTTGATCCTAATCTCTAGAGAAATATGTTTACTTTAAGTTTGCTGGAAGCTAGACTTTGTGTTTTGAAGGTCAGTTAAATCTCTGGAGGTCTGATGCTATTCACTCTCATGGAATGAAACGCTGACTCCAGCATTCCAGCTGCTAATGTGTGTCCTAGGCACAGGGAAGGACTGTGATGTCTTCATTCCTTGGGAAAAGAGGATTTTGTTATCTAAATCAGAACAAAGCTAAATACCATTGATTTTTATGCATCTAGTAGGCATGGATACATGATGCCATTTGTACTGTTAGAATATTCCAAGGGGGAGCTGAGACATGTTGCCAGAGATGCGAGGATTTTGCAACTGGAGTCCCTGGGGTCAGATTTGAGAATACAGAAGTCTCATGGTATGAATTATAAAGCAGATGAAAACAAAACAACAGAGCTGGCCAGTCTGCCCACTGTTCCAGAAGATTAAGATGGAATTTAGCTACAGCAAATTAGGAGAGGGACTTTCTGTAGAATCAAATGGTTTGCTATAAGATGCAGAGCACTAGAAGACCTCCAGTGAAGAAAGCCATAAGAAAATGGTTGTGAAGTTGTGAAACTTGATAAATGCAGAATGATCAGGAAAGGAATGCTTGTTTTCTCACTGGAGCTACAAAGCAGATTCACAATGTTAATATATTTGTTAATAATTTATCTTGTTATTTTCTATAAATGTATGTTAATCTCCCTTAGATTATATGAATATAAAAAGCCTAGAAACATTAATTCTACTTAGATGGGAGTGAATATACATAAGCATGTAGGTATACACATACATGTAAAAATATTGTACCTTTTGCTTTATAGCAATTCTAATGGATTACTTCCCAGTCTAAATAAGCCTGCCATTGAACTGCATCCTCTTTTTCCTTAAGAACATATAATGAATGGGACAAGGTTCTCTGTTAGGGAGGCATAAAGAAAGAAAAATGATGGCAAAATAAATTATTGCAACAACACTGAAGGATAAGAAAAACAATTTGATCTATTCTGTGGGGGAAACCCCTGCAAGTCATCCCAGACACCTGTTGGTTTTCAGTTAAAGACTTTTTTTATCTTGGAACATGTTTTTGCATGAATTTCCTGACTTCATTTTCTGTATTTTGTTGTTTGTGGTTTTTTTTTTTGTGAGAGCTGCTGAACAATTAATTGCATACATTTGTAAAATATATTAGTGACTCAAGGTTACAACTGCATTGTAAAGCCAATAGTATCATTATAAGGAAAAAATTCTAGCAATATCATTATTTTATAAATAAAAATTTCTAACAAGGTTCTACAAGGAAATTTTTCCTCGTTTCAGAGATCACAGTTTCAGATTTCTCTGGATACTGGCTACCACCCAGAAATCTGTTACCTTGTGATTGTGACTAGACCTAATAAAAGCTCTGAGCCCTCAAGAAAAAGGACCTCACAAGACAGTTAAATGTATGCTGTATTTTCAAAACACTGGCAATACCCCTTGCTTTGTCTCTTTCCTCCCTTAGAGTAACTGCAATTTTCCCAGTGCTACCTTTAAGTTATGCTTGAGTGTTTAAGGATACTAGAATTTTTGCTCTTCTAAAAATGGCTAGAGAAGCAATAGGAACCAAGGGCATATATTACAGATCAAAACCAAGTACCTACGGGAAAGTGGACACACAGGTGTTAACTTTGAACAAGCTGTTTTAGCTCTGTGGCACAGCACAGCAATACAAAGTCAGGTCCTGGGAGCATCTGAGTGGGTGCAGAGCTCTCACTGATGAAGTTCTGCTTTAAGCCACCTGGGTGCCAGCCAGGGCTGTGCTGTAAGAATTTGACTGTACGGCTTCAAGGTCCACAAGTGACATGGTTTTGGTGGACCATCTAGGCCAAGCAGCTCATTTACAGGCTGATCTGGTAACCGCACCACACTGCATTGTACCATTGCACCCACTGGCGTGAGAAAAAAGGGCAAGAGCTCTGGCTTAACTAGGGGATCGAGCATCCCAGGAATTGTCTTTCACCTTAATTGGTATTGCTGTCTGCTTTGGTTACACCATGCAAACTCAAACA